TTCATCATATCCGTCTATTGTTGCGTAATTCTCCAATCACCGTCCACGTCTGAACATCCACTCGTCTCCCATTCCTTTCAAGCACGGGCTCAGTAATAAATGATGTTGCTGGTGACCCTTTTTCTTCTACCTTAGATGAAACGGCAGGTGCATTCTTTATAATAGCCTACAGTATGCAGGAAGGCTCCGCCCGAAAGGCTACTTCTTTTAGGCATCAGGAATAGTATGGGGTGCTTTCCGTTATAACAAAATTTTCGGAAATTTCGGTGGAGAAATAAATGGGACGCTTTGGTCTGCGTAGAAATTTTCCGGTCAAAATGGTCCACCTCCAGAGGTGGCCTCTTGGACGGTTGGTCCGGTCCGACCGAAACTTACCGTCCCAATCCCCAAAATTTTCGTTTTCAGTCCTACCTTGCTAAGCAGCAATCATAATTTCGGTCGAAACGCAAATGGATCGTTTCGATGCGATTGAAAACGTTGTTTCAACAGAACAATGACGCTCCATTTTGTCGTGATCATTCCATCTATCATGAGGGTTTAGTTTGGCAAATGGAAAGCGCTCATAGCCTGCGATGCAGCCGGCCCACGCAAGCATCGCCTGGACCATTGGTATAGTCCGTCTAGCCTGCGAATAACCCACGTTCGATATATTAAAATTCTAACATGACTCCGAGGCTTTCTGGTCATTTTTCTGTATTTGGTAAGGTTTGGTTTTCTATGTGCTCGAGTCTCTTCTAGGAATTGCGAGACAGTAGAGTCGTGAAAATTTGCAACTTTGACCCTAAAGCCTCAAAGTCGTGTTAGAATTTTAAAATATCGAACGTGGACTATTGTGCACTAATTCGCAGACCCTGTATTCAGCGGTTTCTTATTTTCTAATCAACCAATCGAAATTATAGACCTTAAAGTTACTAAAATACTGTAAAACCGCTTGAACCAACTAAAAATAGCACACGGCCTTATCTTAATGAGATTCCTGCGCATTTTATTCATGAGATAAAGACAAAAGGTTATGAAGCCATCGGCTTTAATGTAATCCCCCACAAGTTAATGAGATTCCCCCGCAAAAAAGGAGTAACCCGTCCCTACTATACTTCTGAGCTCCAGTTTCCAGATTAGTAGTTGCGGGCTTAAATCGGTAAGAAGAAGTACTTTAACGCAGTATAAACGTTTTGAGAAAAATGAAAACCGGTTATAAGGGCCTCAAATGAAGAAACATTATGATTTCTGTGTGTAAGATCAACAGGCCCTTTGATAACAGCGATAACTACCCGAAACGCATGCATAGCCGATCAAGATCTTAAACTTTCCTTGCAATTTTTTCCCTTGCTTTTTAAGACTACAAATAATGTCGTGGTCATCATAACAGATAAGGTAACGCAAATTTACTTGAATAGTATACTGATACAGGCAAATTATAAACTTCCTTTTTTCCAATAGTCCTCTTGTGACGTTGTGGTGCACCGAGTTATGAAACACAGCTCCTTATTTATTTTGCTGTTGTCATCTACTATCCGTGAGTGTTCGCTATTTCGTTTCACAGAGCGTTGTCACAAGAAAAGATTAGATTATGTAAGGGACAGGAGGGGCTAGGCTAAAAATATGTAACCTTACCTGCCAACAAAGGAAAGCTAGCTCTTACCCAGTTACCCCTCCTAGTTACTAAAAAAATATGACCAACCCTCACTCCCCACTGACATTTTTATATGAATTCAACCCCATTATACCGTAAAGTTTTAAGACGGCTGCGCAAGGAACAGTACCTAATAACTACCTTCGACAGTAGCCGTCCATTTCAGAATAGGCCGATTGCGCGTAGTCTTCTGAATCATCTTTTGAATATCTGGATTGCAGCTCCCAATTATTTGCGTCACGCAGGAGCCCATAACCTGGAGCGAGCTGCTTCTATTAAGACGTTTCACGGCGTTTTAACTAACAAGTTTATTTTTAGAACAACTTTGGCGCGAATTTTGAATACCTTATAAGTCCCACAAACCAGACCGCAAAACCTACAGATCTGAAAAAGGGCTCCTGCGCAAGCTATAAAACGAGGTGAATTGATTCCCAGTAAGCCATAAGGTGAATGTTATCCACATTCACGGGATAACTCAAAATGAAGAGCGGATGAAGTACGTCGCGTTAATCACCCATTAACCTGCGATCAGGAGTTCTTATTTTTCTTTTTCGCCTCCCAAACAGAAAGAGAAGTCCCAGGTGAATAGTCCATTATATTCTCCACTCCATTCACTCCGCAAAAAATGACAACCCAGAAGTGAACGAACCCAATGTAGTAAACAGAGAAGTAATATTGGAGCAAGTAGCTGATAAGGGTTTGTTTGTGATTTGTATAAGAATTGTGCATTTATCTACTGAGTCGTTTGTTTCTGTCTCCTACCTTATTATTTGTTGTCTTGTCAACTACTAGTGCCAGTCCCTCTCGAGTACTGAACTTTTAAGAGGGCGTCGCTTTGTTATTTTCTAGTTTTATCCCATAGTTTAGCACTTTTTGCCGTTCCAAGATGTTACAGTGACAGTATTTCGAACTTTTTGATATTTCCTCTACCTGCTGACCATAGCTGACAGCGAAATAGGGGGAAAAATCACGAAGAGGACTTAAAACAAACAAGAAGGGATCGGCCTATTTCCAAGAAAAAGGTTGGTACCTATGACAAATGTGAGTTTTCTAATTTCTTCCTTTTCCAACGAGCCAAAATGATTATTAGTGTTTTGGTAACATGGATGATTGTAGACTGCAATTTGGCTGTCAGAGTTTTATTATCCTTTTAGTTGTGCGCTACAGATCGATTCAAAAACGACCGATTTTTGATTCGCTTGCAGACACTGAGTTTAGGTCAGGTAAAATAAGAAAGTTTTAGTCTTACCCGTAGCTACTTAACAATGTTTATGGTTTTCGAAGATAGTCCTGTGTTGTGTTGTATCGCATACAAAAAATGAACTTCACTCGTTTAAATTTGAGGAGTTTGTGAGCTTCAGAAAATGGTCAAAATTTGCTTAGGAAAATGGCTTCCAAGGGGGTCAAATAAAGTGATGCTCGTATCTCTAATACAAGAGCAGTGAAGAACCTATGTTTACTATATTTGCCCATTACTCCACCTAACCTATCTATGATGTTAGTATGAGCTTATTCTGTCGACCCCCTTCCGTTGACATTTTTAACATTTTGCCCGGTTTTCTCTGACAACCGCTCTTAAAACGGCTCAAAAATCACGGAAAACGTTTCGGGTCGGCGCACTGTTATGGGGGGTTTCATCTATACCTTTCAAACAACTGCTACAATCGAAGACAAAAGTAGTTGGGAAGGTTGTACAACTCAACAGTATTCCATTTTAGTCCTCAAAAAATATATTTTTCTCTTTTGCTAAATATATCCCATCCCCCCTATTCAATATTGGGATATAACAGAACAATTACGCGCACAAACATTAACGTTATGCTCAACATTGGGCCAGGGGCGGAGGAAAGAAGGAACCAAAGAGGTAAAAAGTAGCAGCCTTCCCAACACTTTTGACTCATTGTAGGCCCAGATCGTGGACAGTGGAACAAGATTTTTTAAGTCGAGTCGACGGGTCCCAGAATGAACCACCACTAGTTTAAGAGTATCTTATCTTTCCTTTCTCCACGAGAAAGGGCTTAATTTAACAGAAAAAAAAAGTAAAAAAACTATGTGTTAAAATTGAGAAGAAGATTAGACAAGCGTACGGCTACTGTATGGATCAATCTTATTTGAGATTTTTGTTCCAGCTAACACGAAAATCCAAACAATCTGGATTGTCTAAATCCGAAAAAAGATGAGCTTAAAGAAACGCAACCTTTGTGTCTACCAATGGTGCCACAAGGAATTATTAAACTATCTATCCGAAATTATCCGACTGAGTGACTTCTTGTTCATTTGAAGCAAGAGCTACTAATTTTACAGAGCTTGACAACACTCACAACGAAATAATTAAAAAATTGTTTTTTTGGGAAATTCACGCTTAACGTTTTGCGAGAAATATTTAAGTTATCTAAAGGAAGTTCAGTTAGGCACATCAAACAATGTTAAGGGTGGACTTCAACTGTCGCGTAAAATTTACTCGTGTAAATCAAATAGAGGAAATGTATTCACTGCCGAAGTCGTCGAGGAAATGTATGAAAGGGCGCGCGTGAACGAAAAAAGGGAACCGAGCGCAACTTTTCCGTTTACATTTGCGCAGGACACTCCATAATAATTTCCTCTCAGTTTTATTTACGCGCGTAAAATTTACATGCATTCTCACGTGAAAAAAAATCCACTCTAAAGCTTATGATCGCATAATTTGAATATACCGAAGCCAATAAAATAAAATAAGATATCTTCCAAAGCTCGAATTTTTTTAAGTCTTGGTCTCGAATTTTAAAACCGGGGTCTCGCAGTCTCGCAAAGTTTCTAATTTACCATTATATACCCCCTATAGATGTCGGTTTATCGAGTAGAAATTAGTTGATTTTAGGATTACCATTGATGACAACTAATGAATTGATGCAATCTTCTTTCCTTAGTTTTGTAAGGCTCGGGTATCCAGCGCAATTCCACAATCAAGCAACTTTAAAAAAACGTTTTTAAAAACGAGATACTGGGAAAAGTTCATTTTTTAATTCACTCATAATTTTTCGCAGTTTCTTAAAATCGTGCGGAATACTGAAAGATCCGTTGCCTACACGAGCAAATATTGTGTTGGACAATATTAATTTCACGTGACTAATTCAGGGTCACGTGCCAAATGTGTGAGCAATCAGTTGACATACAAGTCGTTGGGGTCGTCTGTTAAGCTTGAGGGTACCTTAACATAAAATCTTTCGTCTTCATAGGTACCTTTTGTGGCAGTTTGACGATAGTAGGGGAATTAAACATTTTCTGGCTGAATTAAATAATTATTCAATTTATCATTTTTGTTTCCTTTTGTATTCGCAAACACAGCGGAATTCGAGTTCGCCGAGACTTGGGTGACGTCTGTCAAGAAATGTGGAATGCAGCCGGTAATAACATGGTCGTGGGGACGGATATGACAGTGGACACATCATCTACAGCTACAAACTTGTTTACTGTAACTTCGACCGGCCAAAACAAACTCCGGCGGCCAGTATACACTAGCTTCAAGGGTAAAAGCTACAGTACTTCTCTTCTATTCTATGTAGTATTATTAACAGAGAATTAATCTCGAATTAATTAATTATTGAATTTGTTTGTGAATTGAGTAATTCTGTAAGCACTGTATCCGAGAATAGTTTAAGCTGAAGTTAAAAACAAAACAAAAAAAAACAAAAACAAAAACGAATAAGAAACAAACAAACAAACAACAGCAGCTACAGTGACAACAATTAAAAAATTTAACAACATTAACAAAAAAAAATTTTGCAAAAGGCTAGGGTTCCTAAACAAATGAAGGAGTTCTGAAGTTAGGTCGACGTGTCTTGAATGAAGATTAGGCTTTATCAGTAAAGGCTAGGGAAGGTTCCCAGTATCAGGAAAGCATTAAAAAGAGTAGCACTGGGTACTTCTGAGCACACCCTTATGATGTGGATAGCTTTCAAGTACAGCTGGCTTCCTCTCATCGCTTCTGGCAGTTACTCGGCCATGGATTAATTACCGAACGTATTCCACAAGAACCTCAGGTCCACGCTTCACGATTGGCCAGAAAATGTCTTGGCGAGAGTTGCTCCCCAGTAACTCTCCTTCAGATGGAAAAACCGGAAATTCTGTTTGAAAACAAATACCTTGCGTCACCTATTTTCAGTTAGTCTAGCGTCAGACAATATAGTTGACATTCGAGGCGATGCAAGTTTTCTACTCTTCTTTAAGTCTTACCATGCATCTGATTTGAATATACTGCGTAACGGGTCCTTCACCTAAAAGGTTAAACAATTAATTGTTAAATACTTATGCACGAGATTTCCAACTGCCGTGGGTGTGTTAGTGATAAGCAATAGTTTCGTCCGTGAACACTCCGTTCCGACTGGCTTTTCCCAGGTCTTCGAGAATCCCTCCTAAGGATTTCGTAAGACCAGTTACTGATGTCTAGGAGGTAAATTTAAATGTCGTGTCATTCCAGGTTTATGAACCACGACCAATCAATATTTTCGTGCCAGGAGAAGATACTTATCTTGTTTTGCGAGAAATCCTACTGACTATGGAGGTAAACGTTTGGCAGTAGACAGTTACCGACAGGTATGACAACTTCTGCAAAGGAGGTTGGCTGCACCACATCATTTGCCAGCGTCTTACGTGTATGTGCATCGTATTTGCTTTCTTGGAACTAACTTAGTTTTAACATTCTGCTAAAGCCCTTCTAGATAACTACATTTCAGACGCGAAAAAGCCAAAAATTCCTGCTTCACAAAAGGCACTAGAGGAGGACAACTTCATCGACACTATCGCCGTCGCAGGAGGTCCCGTAGATATTGCTTTCAACTATCTGAAGACCAATGGAAAGACTACAGCAACAGTAAGATTTGTTTTATTGAATTTTTGGTCTTCACTCTTCTCCGAATGACTAGAAGCGTGGAGGAAGCGTTGTGCGGAAGCCATCCTGCACGTGCACCTTTTCTTTTAAAGCACTGACTTCTTCCAACTTTTCTTGATTGGCACAAGGTATGATATTAGAAATAATTTCTTTCCTAGCGTGAGTTAAACCATGTTGGCTAGAAGCTCAAGGTAACAAAAGTGATTCAGCTAAAACTGTCCGGTCACAGCTGTTGAAGGTTGAACCAACAACGCAATTTTCAGGTTCCCTGTCTTTAGCATTTATGTTTCACTGATTTTCTTGACTGTTGGTTTTCTTGTTATCTGCAAACTCCAAAAGGACCTAAACGCTTTTAATTCAACATTGAAGACGATGTGGTTTACTAAATACGCAAAAGGAGGAGGCGTACCGCATTATTCTGGATTTGAGCATACATTTGTTGGTAGGCATATTGCCACACAAAGAAATCGGTTTTAAGGCCATGTAGATGTAACCTTCTGCCACCACATCCAGTCTCACAACTCACGCAAAATACTTTATGGTTTTGTATAAATCCAGAGCTTATAACTTATTTACTTATAGCCTGTGCCAGCCTCTCGGTCAGTGCAGACGAGCGAAAAATGCGGGCAAACAGTGAAAAAACGAGCGAGCGAGCGAAAAATTACGGGGAGAGAAGGGGAGATCCTGTAAGCATCTTTACAAATACCACAGTCCGCCTACTTTCAGAAAAATCGTTTCTCGTATCAAAATGTCAAAATGTTCGCGCACGCTCGCTTTGTTTTCTCTTTGTCTCTGCTTGCGCGAAGCCAAGCTGGGGCTTTCCACAAGTTGCTCGGTAACTTTTTGACAACTTTCAGTATTTCGAGCAACGTTTTGCATTCTGAGCAATTTTCTCTAGTTTTCAACCAATTCTGAAATATCTGAGCAGCTTTTAGTGCTCAAAATTGACCTTGTTTCCATACTTCACAATGTTTTAGTAGACAATTTATGAATTTCCTGTGAAAAAGGAGCCAGATCCTCTCCCCGCTCCCCCGCTCCCCCGCTAGGGCAGATCATGGGCGCAAGGTTCATGCAGCCGGGCTGCTAGGTTAGCGTTTTTTTTTTTTGAAGAAAATTAAAAATGACGGATGAAGATTCCCACTCGACTGACACAAGTGTCTCAAGTGCGGTGAGGAAGGTCTTTCTGACAACAATTTCATTGGCTCATAACAGAAGTTTTACAAGATTAATACTAATATTGATACGTGGGTTAAGGGCTCCTGATTACGCTGCAAAGTTACATTAAAATGCTTAGAAATCTTACTTTTGTCGTACATTTTGCATATTTTTGCATCAGACTAAATAAAGAAAGAGAGCAGCAAAAACAGGTTTTTGTTTTTTTGAGTAACTTTTGAGCAACTTTCGTTACAAAAAGCAACTTTTGATTTTTTTTTAGAAACTTTTGAGAAACTTTTTGAGAAGTTACGGGAAACTTTTTAGGAAATCTCGAGCAACTTGCACGTGGAAAGCCCTGGAGTATGTCTCGTGTGAAGAAGGTTATTCAACAATTTTAGTGGCTCATTACATTGTTTGGTTTTAATTGAGGACAAAGTTATTCAGCAACACTGGTTACGCCACAAAATTGCAAAGAATGCTTAGAAATCTTACTTTTGTTGTGCACTTGTATATTTTAGCATCAGACCTAAAAAGGTCTAAAAAAGCAACTTTTGAGCAACGTTTTGAGAAATTCCGAGAAACTCTTTGGAAAATCTCGAGCAACTAGCGGAAAGCCCTATGCGATTGATGTGGTTGACATAAATTGTCAAAATTGATCAATCATAAAGGGTATACCGGGAGCTGGTATACCGGAATGAGGTGTTGAAAACAATGCTTACTCTTCAGCTTCCCCGTGATTTTCGCGCAACTTTTCTCGATGCGCTCTCTCTAATATTTTGGAACCTGGAACAGGCCGAAAATGGCGTTATCACAGACCTGTCCATGTTTAGACACCCTCCCACGAAAATGGACCAAACTTGTGTATATCCGGAGCATGAAATATGAAAAAGATTAGGAAATGTTTCTGAATAGAGACAAACAGTTTAAGCTTTTAACCAGTAATGGTCTGTGCCTTTTTTTGCTGACAAGTCAGTTTTGTGGAACTATTTATGGCAAGCGAGAATAATAGGTTATGGTCTAGATTCGCGCCAAAATAGACAAGAATACGTCGAGACGGCCTTCGAACCAGAAATTCGGCTATTTCGTTTTCGGATAGCCATGAACTCTTTCCACAATTGTTTCAGTTCATTCATGCATTAAACAGCTAAGCTGCAGCGCTGCTGCCTGGAAACGAGGCTGATATTTTATATACCTTCGAATGAGTTGATTATTACCCGGCTTTTGAAATATGGTAAGCTCCACGTGGTTATGAAGCATTTAGCCGGGGGATTGGGGCCAATCAGAAACGGTGAAATATTTTAGGGTATAGTGTTACTTCCAACTATTGAAAGGCAACACTCGGCTGCAGGCCAGAGATCTTTTAAATCACACAAACAAACAAAAAAAAGGAAGGAAAAGAATAGAAAAGACAAACATCATTACGTGAAAAAATCTAAATATACATTTACCCGTACATCCAGTGCGGTCTAAATGGATAAGTAATGCTTTGTTTACAATCCTGGACTGCCACAATCTCTGTTAAATGAGGACGGTTTTGAATAAATTGCTTCATCAGGTGAACTGGACGTCGACAAAAAGGTATTTCAAGGTCTTCACAACTGGTACCAGTTTCTTCTTGAACAGACCGCAGGTAGACTGGCTTACTCTCCACCCCCAAAGAATGTTGTGGATACGACTAAAAAGGTAAGGGTTTAATCTGAAAGGACTGTGAGATGTCAGGATGATAGTATTCAAACATGGTCAATAGAGAGACGCTTCACTAAAACAATCTATCCTTCACTAGAACTTTAGAGTAGCTGTTTTCGGTAAGTAAATGTCTGTCTCGAAATCCCCCTCGCGTTACACGGCCTCATTATCAGTCAGGGGAGTTTCCGAAAGAGACATTTCGCACATTCAGGATAAGTGAAACTTCCTCGGATTTGTAGAGGTAGAACATGATACGTTTTTTGCATCAAATGGAAACACGGAAAAATCCGAGACCCAGATGGGATTCGAACCCACGACCCTCCGTGACCAAGTCGAATGCTCTAACCACTGAGCTACTGGAGATTCGATGGCGAGAAAGGGTGAAATTTGGGTCTTTGACTAGAGCTGCATCACGCGATCAGACCGGTGGCCTATTAAATTTTGCCAGATTTTGCCCCATTGTTAGGTAATCCGAATACCGGTATCCTGGGATTTAAAAACCAGAAATCAGTTGAAGAAATCCAGCTTCCTGCTAAGAATTGGAATCCAGAATCCAATTTTCAATGACAAGTGATCCGGAATCCACGATGGGGAGGCCAGAATCCAAGACAATTTTGGACTACCTTTTATGGGGCGATATATTATGAGCGTAATTGTGCGCTCTTATTATCATTAAGTGATATCACTGTTGCTTGTTTGCAGCCACCCTTTATAAACGTCCAGTTTACTTGGAATGGATATAGTAAGCCACCGGGTAGCAGCTTTTACGTGGGCACAAGTCCTGCATTTGAAGTGGCGCTTTACACAGCATGCTTCTTTGGTGAGCCAGGTGACTGCACCTGCAGTGTGGACCGAAAGCAGCTTAAGATAAAGACCATCAACTTTAAAAATGCTGGAATGGTGCTCACCTCTTATCCTGTAGCATAAGTCCTTCAGAATGATTTATTATTACCACGATGTAGAACAAAAAGAAATTTGATTCATGTACGTATTATACTCCATATGTAGGCAAACAAAAAGAAGAAGCAATAAAGTGCAACTAAACTTATCCAAACTCTGCTTACATTTTTCTGTTGAGAATTCCCTTTTTATTTCCTTTTTTTAGTCTCTGGATTTTCTCTTCTAAGAGATGGAAAAATGCGGACTTTTCCAACTGAAAGCACTTTATTTGTGGAGAAAGGCTGTTTGAAGGAACTACTACACAATAATATTCCTAACGTGTTTTGCGTAAACTACGCTCTTGAATTCTATGATTATAATCACTTGCCATGACATAATGGAGAATGNGGGGAGGCCAGAATCCAAGACAATTTTGGACTACCTTTTATGGGGCGATATATTATGAGCGTAATTGTGCGCTCTTATTATCATTAAGTGATATCACTGTTGCTTGTTTGCAGCCACCCTTTATAAACGTCCAGTTTACTTGGAATGGATATAGTAAGCCACCGGGTAGCAGCTTTTACGTGGGCACAAGTCCTGCATTTGAAGTGGCGCTTTACACAGCATGCTTCTTTGGTGAGCCAGGTGACTGCACCTGCAGTGTGGACCGAAAGCAGCTTAAGATAAAGACCATCAACTTTAAAAATGCTGGAATGGTGCTCACCTCTTATCCTGTAGCATAAGTCCTTCAGAATGATTTATTATTACCACGATGTAGAACAAAAAGAAATTTGATTCATGTACGTATTATACTCCATATGTAGGCAAACAAAAAGAAGAAGCAATAAAGTGCAACTAAACTTATCCAAACTCTGCTTACATTTTTCTGTTGAGAATTCCCTTTTTATTTCCTTTTTTTAGTCTCTGGATTTTCTCTTCTAAGAGATGGAAAAATGCGGACTTTTCCAACTGAAAGCACTTTATTTGTGGAGAAAGGCTGTTTGAAGGAACTACTACACAATAATATTCCTAACGTGTTTTGCGTAAACTACGCTCTTGAATTCTATGATTATAATCACTTGCCATGACATAATGGAGAATGACCATTGAACATCATAGAACTGAAAGATCGAAAAATAATAGTTTATTCTTCAAGACCTGTTAGTCAGAAAACCGTGACAAATTTATAGTGGATTTTTTCGATATAATCCGGTCAAACATAAACGTTTTCAAGATCCAACCCAATTCGTACCCGGCAGGGTCAGACACCCTTTTTTCTTAAAAAAACAGTTCATGATAATTCCTATCAATCAATATTATTAACATTCCATTTCATGCGAATGTGCATCGATAACAGACACTGGCAGCTTGAAAAGTATTATTTAATCCCGATGACACTGCTTGTACGCGTGGCGTATCCGCCCTGCGGAACCGGAAGTAAACTTGCTGGGTAGTACCCATCTCTTCCGGATTTCTAACACCCTCTCCCTCAGAGCACTCCTCGCCTGACCGAGGTGGATGTAGAGTCCCAGCTGCAGTATAATAACTCAATATCCTGGGTTAATCCAGAACTCGTTTAATAGAAAAGTTTTGTTGTTGTTGGGAGTTGTTGGCTCAGAAGTTTGACCAGTTTCAAACTTTGCGCAACAGCTCCCAACAACACGAACAACATGCAACAGGGTGTGTAAACGGACGCAACATGTAACATACAACAATGCTGGGAGTTGTTAGCCAAAAATGTTGCGTTTGCATGAGGCGTAACCTAAAATTCAACTTGCTGCCACTTATCATTAAATCAGTACTTTCCAAACTTTGCCATTTCTTTGTTGAAACCTTTAATGGCTGACTGTTTAACTTTCTAATAACTACAATATTACTTTTTGGATCGTGTGGCTAGCTAATATATTTTTTTATTAATAAATAACAACTATCTAAAGTATGTAAATTTAAACGAAATAATAGACCTTATCATTTAATCCGACACTACTTTCCAAAGTTTCCCATTTCGTTAACGTTGCTGAAACCTTTAGCGGCTGACTGTTTGTCTTTCTAATAACTACAATATTACTTTTTGGATCGTGCTGGGGCTAGCTATTTTTGTTATTAAAAGATAATTATAATAGACGAAATATGTAGTGTGATAAAGTTTGAGATGAAAGTTAACTTTTTAACTCTCTATATAACCGTAACATAATAACGTCCTGTGAGACTAGAACACGAGTGAAATTGTCTTTTCTATTAATTTTGTTAATTATTCTTGTTGGTGTATTTTCTGACACGAGGATGAATCTCTGTGAACGTGTGGCTGAATCCTTGAACGAGCAAGATGAATCGAGAGTCCTGTATTCTGATTGGCTACTCATGATTCTAATTGAGAGACAAAATTTTCTCACGATTAATTACTGCGACTGTATGGATAGTTAGAGATAAGCAATGATTTATTTCGTTATATTTGATTTTAAGTTATTTCAAAATACTAACGAGCCAAGAATTAGAAAAAAAGTAGCTTTTAAAATACTATAAAAGTCTGTGAAAGTCATGTGAATAAAGCTTACTGTTGTTGGTAGTCAGTAGGAATTCAGTATCATCAAATGAATACTTCGCAACCCGTAAGATTATATTGTTATATTGTGCGACCCAAAATCTCTGTCAACCCTTGGAGAATAGCGCTTTGCTTCTCAACAGTAGAGATTCTGTGACCTGCTACCCTTTCTAATGTCACTGAACATTTTGAGTTTGAAAAGTGACACTTGAATAGTTGAACCCGCGAGGAAGTCGACAAGCGAAGATGGGCCGTCTGAAATGCAAACAGGCACTCAATATTGTCTTTTTGTTTCAGAATATCCTGAGACGTAAGCTTTTTCATAGATATAAGCCGATCACTTCGCCTTGCGGTAAGTTATAAAAGTAAACGTATCAGCCTGCATGAGTTTTACTTCATTCAGTGGCCTTACTTTTAAATAATAATTATAGTAAGTATCAATGTGTGTTGACCTACCAGACTCTATTTTCATTTCGAGTGTTCACATTGGTCAAATCTTCCTATTAATTACCTAGAGAGAAAACCCGAAAACATTTCAGCAATTTCAGCAGATCAAAGTTGAATAAAAATTCGGAATTTGTAGTTTTACCAGATCTGAGAGCATTGAAATGAGCCAAGGTCGATGGCGCCTCGGATTAAGAAGAATAAAGTTGACATGTGTTAAAGATAATTTTCAATTGGTCAACGCTTTAATTCACGGTTTCTACTAAAAACTTGACTTACTGTAAACTGAGTTAGAACGTCGTAATCAAAATCGTAAAGAAAGACGTAATCACCAGAATTTTCCCTGCCACGTTTAGTTTTCAGCATTTAGTCGGCATACAAGTTTTATTTGGAGTTTTACGCCAAGTAAGTCCGTATTCGATAAGCTACAGACGGCCTAAAATACAGGCCCCTATAACAAACGAATTTAGAGGGCACAAAGTTAAAGCAATGCTGACGGCGTACTTAAATGTAGCTTATTCATTCGGCCCATCTCTGTAGTGGGTTTCCCGCAAAATTCAGTCTTCTTTTATTAAAACAGATAAAAGCTTCCCAAAAAGTGAGCGGAAGGGGGCGGGGGGCGAGGGGGCCCATATTTCTACGGCCATGAGGTAGTACTGGGAGTTTCACTAAAATAGCTCATATAAGGCGTTCAACCTTGAAATGAAGAAAGGGAGATGCTTAGTTTCTTTGGAGATTGCATTGGTCATTTACAAACCTTTTTAATTTGTCGAAAACTTCGAAAGCAAACTGACACGATTTGGATAGCGAATAATTTATTTATCATAAATGTTTTGTCGTTGAACACGCGATTTTGCGATAAAGTAAACTAGTATTTCCGGGAAAACGTGTTGAGTATTGTCAACTTAATATTGCCGAATTCTTGAAATGATTTTCCACTAGATCTAACAAAGCTGGGGGAACAAGGACTTTTACTAATTTAAGAAGTTTTTATGGAGCAGGGACAGTTAATCAATCATTTATATAAAAGGGATAATTTAGGTAAAATGGCAAGAACATCTCTTTAAACTAATAAAGTCAGTTCCGAGTTTTGATTACAGCAGCACCCACCGTTAAAGTGGACATCATGAGCGCTATTTCCCTCTTCATCATTTTGGCTCTCCTTCCAAGTGAAAGGTACGTATTAACCACCAGGTTTAATTTCATCACTGAGTCTACTACTGAGTTTCGGCCAAGTATATGGCCAAAATAAAGTAAAACAAATTTTGTATGAGTTCGATTAGCAAAACTATAGTCAAGAGAGGTTAAGCATCACGTTTACGTCAAACGACAAACGCGAGTTTGTACCATGTGACCAAGTTTCCCCATTACTTGTCGTTTATTGTTCATTATTTCTACTCAAATTAGTAGTTTTACGCAATTTTTTATCCATAAGAATTGTTTTGGGCTGTTTTTATCTACTCATTTTCTATTTTGAGAAATTCTCAACTTGAATCTGACGTTTGCCGTTTGTCGTATCGGCTTATCCTCAGTCTCTTATATTTCACCCACCTGTAACATGCAATTTGTAATTAAAAAGGCTACCAGCTTAGTAACACATACGCGAATGTGTTAACTTTCCAGACTTAACCGAAGGAGATTATAGTGTCATGAGTTACAATTTTGGTTAAATCGCTGAAGATATATTACGTTAGTCGACAATAACAGATTCAATAAGGAGGAGGGTCGCAGCTTCGTGGGTATATCTACCAAATTTGCAACTTCCTAGTTCGTCATTTTGTTACGTTTTAAGTGAAGGGCAACTGGTATGATTTTTAAAACTTATACCGGGTTTGCAAACCCAGTACCTTGCTCTAATGAAGTAAAAAAGACGTCATCATATTGTTTAAGCGTTTGTTACGATAATTTAGCGTAATTGGCACTGAAAATTGTTTCAGGCAAAAATACGTTCTTTCATTCTTGTCAGTTTCACTCGAAAACCATACCTGTGTTTTTATACCATAACAGGCAAAATCTATACTCGATTTCAGAACATTAAAACGGCTCAAAAATCAGGGAAAACGTTTTGGGTCGGCGATTAATAGCGGAGCTCCACTCGCGCGCGAAGCGCGCGCGTGGGCGGAGCCCCATAGGTAAGGAAATGTGGTAATCTACCCATCCAAGAAAATTTGGTAATCACGTGACCGTATGCCCGACCGTCCGTCCGCACCACAGGGCAACCAATGTTTACTGTCATACTTTCTAGCTAGTTTGGAAACCCAAGAGAAAACTAATTGCACATGATTGCACATCAATGTTTTGATCAATTGACAGCTGTCAAAACAGGGTATCCGCTGACCAGTATCACCTGACCGTACCACGGGCTCAAGTGTTCACCCATCGAGTTCCAGTATTTTTTGAAGTTATCCGCTGGCAAATTACCAGTTTCAAATGATCGTAAGCTCAAGTTCATTTTTTCCAATGATTCATATGAAATATGTTGTGTTTATGTCACTATGGCCCCGCACTGTTAAGACTTTGATTTCAAACTGACCTCGGACGGGAAAATTCAGCCATTTTTTAAAAAATACAGGCGGGGAAGACCGTTTTTTACCATGGTCACGCGTTGGTCACGCTCTACGTCCAATTTTCATACTCTGATTGGTCAAAAATTGACAGGTGAGTTCATGCGGAAAATTTATGCAGCATCATGAAAGTTGTTTACTTTGACAACTGAAGTTGACAGAGTTTTGTGTCAACTTGTGATGTATTTAACTGTCTTTTCCACTGGATGTACAAAATGAAATTCAGC